GGAGAAGGCCCCGGTCAGGCTGCATGGCCCCATCGCCCCAGGGAGAAGGCCCCGGTCAGGCTGCATGGCCCCATCGCCCCAGGGAGAAGGCCCCGGTCAGGCTGCATGGCCCCATCGCCCCAGGGAGAAGGCCCCGGTCAGGCTGCATGGCCCCATCGCCCCAGGGAGAAGGCCCCGGTCAGGCTGCATGGCCCCATCGCCCCAGGGAGAAGGCCCCGGTCAGGCTGCATGGCCCCATCGCCCCAGGGAGAAGGCCCCGGTCAGGCTGCATGGCCCCATCGCCCCAGGGAGAAGGCCCCGGTCAGGCTGCATGGCCCCATCGCCCCAGGGAGAAGGCCCCGGTCAGGCTGCATGGCCCCATCGCCCCAGGGAGAAGGCCCCGGTCAGGCTGCATGGCCCCATCGCCCCAGGGAGAAGGCCCCGGTCAGGCTGCATGGCCCCATCGCCCCAGGGAGAAGGCCCCGGTCAGGCTGCATGGCCCCATCGCCCCAGGGAGAAGGCCCCGGTCAGGCTGCATGGCCCCATCGCCCCAGGGAGAAGGCCCCGGTCAGGCTGCATGGCCCCATCGCCCCAGGGAGAAGGCCCCGGTCAGGCTGCATGGCCCCATCGCCCCAGGGAGAAGGCCCCGGTCAGGCTGCATGGCCCCATCGCCCCAGGGAGAAGGCCCCGGTCAGGCTGCATGGCCCCATCGCCCCAGGGAGAAGGCCCCGGTCAGGCTGCATGGCCCCATCGCCCCAGGGAGAAGGCCCCGGTCAGGCTGCATGGCCCCATCGCCCCAGGGAGAAGGCCCCGGTCAGGCTGCATGGCCCCATCGCCCCAGGGAGAAGGCCCCGGTCAGGCTGCATGGCCCCATCGCCCCAGGGAGAAGGCCCCGGTCAGGCTGCATGGCCCCATCGCCCCAGGGAGAAGGCCCCGGTCAGGCTGCATGGCCCCATCGCCCCAGGGAGAAGGCCCCGGTCAGGCTGCATGGCCCCATCGCCCCAGGGAGAAGGCCCCGGTCAGGCTGCATGGCCCCATCGCCCCAGGGAGAAGGCCCCGGTCAGGCTGCATGGCCCCATCGCCCCAGGGAGAAGGCCCCGGTCAGGCTGCATGGCCCCATCGCCCCAGGGAGAAGGCCCCGGTCAGGCTGCATGGCCCCATCGCCCCAGGGAGAAGGCCCCGGTCAGGCTGCATGGCCCCATCGCCCCAGGGAGAAGGCCCCGGTCAGGCTGCATGGCCCCATCGCCCCAGGGAGAAGGCCCCGGTCAGGCTGCATGGCCCCATCGCCCCAGGGAGAAGGCCCCGGTCAGGCTGCATGGCCCCATCGCCCCAGGGAGAAGGCCCCGGTCAGGCTGCATGGCCCCATCGCCCCAGGGAGAAGGCCCCGGTCAGGCTGCATGGCCCCATCGCCCCAGGGAGAAGGCCCCGGTCAGGCTGCATGGCCCCATCGCCCCAGGGAGAAGGCCCCGGTCAGGCTGCATGGCCCCATCGCCCCAGGGAGAAGGCCCCGGTCAGGCTGCATGGCCCCATCGCCCCAGGGAGAAGGCCCCGGTCAGGCTGCATGGCCCCATCGCCCCAGGGAGAAGGCCCCGGTCAGGCTGCATGGCCCCATCGCCCCAGGGAGAAGGCCCCGGTCAGGCTGCATGGCCCCATCGCCCCAGGGAGAAGGCCCCGGTCAGGCTGCATGGCCCCATCGCCCCAGGGAGAAGGCCCCGGTCAGGCTGCATGGCCCCATCGCCCCAGGGAGAAGGCCCCGGTCAGGCTGCATGGCCCCATCGCCCCAGGGAGAAGGCCCCGGTCAGGCTGCATGGCCCCATCGCCCCAGGGAGAAGGCCCCGGTCAGGCTGCATGGCCCCATCGCCCCAGGGAGAAGGCCCCGGTCAGGCTGCATGGCCCCATCGCCCCAGGGAGAAGGCCCCGGTCAGGCTGCATGGCCCCATCGCCCCAGGGAGAAGGCCCCGGTCAGGCTGCATGGCCCCATCGCCCCAGGGAGAAGGCCCCGGTCAGGCTGCATGGCCCCATCGCCCCAGGGAGAAGGCCCCGGTCAGGCTGCATGGCCCCATCGCCCCAGGGAGAAGGCCCCGGTCAGGCTGCATGGCCCCATCGCCCCAGGGAGAAGGCCCCGGTCAGGCTGCATGGCCCCATCGCCCCAGGGAGAAGGCCCCGGTCAGGCTGCATGGCCCCATCGCCCCAGGGAGAAGGCCCCGGTCAGGCTGCATGGCCCCATCGCCCCAGGGAGAAGGCCCCGGTCAGGCTGCATGGCCCCATCGCCCCAGGGAGAAGGCCCCGGTCAGGCTGCATGGCCCCATCGCCCCAGGGAGAAGGCCCCGGTCAGGCTGCATGGCCCCATCGCCCCAGGGAGAAGGCCCCGGTCAGGCTGCATGGCCCCATCGCCCCAGGGAGAAGGCCCCGGTCAGGCTGCATGGCCCCATCGCCCCAGGGAGAAGGCCCCGGTCAGGCTGCATGGCCCCATCGCCCCAGGGAGAAGGCCCCGGTCAGGCTGCATGGCCCCATCGCCCCAGGGAGAAGGCCCCGGTCAGGCTGCATGGCCCCATCGCCCCAGGGAGAAGGCCCCGGTCAGGCTGCATGGCCCCATCGCCCCAGGGAGAAGGCCCCGGTCAGGCTGCATGGCCCCATCGCCCCAGGGAGAAGGCCCCGGTCAGGCTGCATGGCCCCATCGCCCCAGGGAGAAGGCCCCGGTCAGGCTGCATGGCCCCATCGCCCCAGGGAGAAGGCCCCGGTCAGGCTGCATGGCCCCATCGCCCCAGGGAGAAGGCCCCGGTCAGGCTGCATGGCCCCATCGCCCCAGGGAGAAGGCCCCGGTCAGGCTGCATGGCCCCATCGCCCCAGGGAGAAGGCCCCGGTCAGGCTGCATGGCCCCATCGCCCCAGGGAGAAGGCCCCGGTCAGGCTGCATGGCCCCATCGCCCCAGGGAGAAGGCCCCGGTCAGGCTGCATGGCCCCATCGCCCCAGGGAGAAGGCCCCGGTCAGGCTGCATGGCCCCATCGCCCCAGGGAGAAGGCCCCGGTCAGGCTGCATGGCCCCATCGCCCCAGGGAGAAGGCCCCGGTCAGGCTGCATGGCCCCATCGCCCCAGGGAGAAGGCCCCGGTCAGGCTGCATGGCCCCATCGCCCCAGGGAGAAGGCCCCGGTCAGGCTGCATGGCCCCATCGCCCCAGGGAGAAGGCCCCGGTCAGGCTGCATGGCCCCATCGCCCCAGGGAGAAGGCCCCGGTCAGGCTGCATGGCCCCATCGCCCCAGGGAGAAGGCCCCGGTCAGGCTGCATGGCCCCATCGCCCCAGGGAGAAGGCCCCGGTCAGGCTGCATGGCCCCATCGCCCCAGGGAGAAGGCCCCGGTCAGGCTGCATGGCCCCATCGCCCCAGGGAGAAGGCCCCGGTCAGGCTGCATGGCCCCATCGCCCCAGGGAGAAGGCCCCGGTCAGGCTGCATGGCCCCATCGCCCCAGGGAGAAGGCCCCGGTCAGGCTGCATGGCCCCATCGCCCCAGGGAGAAGGCCCCGGTCAGGCTGCATGGCCCCATCGCCCCAGGGAGAAGGCCCCGGTCAGGCTGCATGGCCCCATCGCCCCAGGGAGAAGGCCCCGGTCAGGCTGCATGGCCCCATCGCCCCAGGGAGAAGGCCCCGGTCAGGCTGCATGGCCCCATCGCCCCAGGGAGAAGGCCCCGGTCAGGCTGCATGGCCCCATCGCCCCAGGGAGAAGGCCCCGGTCAGGCTGCATGGCCCCATCGCCCCAGGGAGAAGGCCCCGGTCAGGCTGCATGGCCCCATCGCCCCAGGGAGAAGGCCCCGGTCAGGCTGCATGGCCCCATCGCCCCAGGGAGAAGGCCCCGGTCAGGCTGCATGGCCCCATCGCCCCAGGGAGAAGGCCCCGGTCAGGCTGCATGGCCCTGCCGCCCCAGGCAACGCCAGGGAAGTCTTTAGTTCTCAAATATGCATCAGTACTTATAGATTAGCCAAGCCACCCCTTAGCCTTCTCTTTGTCCAGCTACGGAGACTGGGGCTGTTGCCGTAAGGGAGCTTTTCTAATTCGCTCGTCATCCTTGGGGCTCTTCTCTGAATTCTTACCAGTAACTTACATCTTCCTTGAACTGTGAGCACCAGAACTGCGCTATCACAGCTGGGCCATTTGGAGACCTATCACTTAGGCAGCGTTAATCCAGTTCATGTGTCCCAGGTTCTCGTGTGTATTCTAGTTTTTTAAATCCAAATGCTGTGATCCCTAGAGTTCTGCAAGGCATCTGACTTAGTATGTTACCTCAGCCAGCTCTATAATCTCATCAGAATAAGAGCCAGTTCATTTGACAGACTCTGTTATCCACAAACTCATGTTGATTGGCATGAATAAGATCACGTGTGTTACTCTCCTTTAATTCTGTATTAATCAAGTCCCTCTGAGTTGCTTCATTATGTTGATCAGGGTCAGCATTGGACTGCTATTCTGCTTGTGCTTTGAAACACTGACACAGCAGTACATGTCTCCCATGTTTCTGCAACTTCCCTGATCTTCCAAGACTTCTGGAAAGTCAATGATAATGGCCCAACAAACTCCTCAGCCAGCTCGTTTTCAACTCTTGGCAGCAAATGATCCTGACCTGATTTTTGAAATGTTTAATTTTAGTAGGTGCTGTTTAACTTGATCTTGAGATTCTAGTGGAATGGAAAGTGTGTGGCCACGTATGACCACATCACGTCTCCACAAATACGGAGCAAATAGTGGCTGAATCTTTTTGCCTTACTATGGATAGTTCTGTCATTTTCATCAAAGAGCAGACCAATGACATCACTGGGGTTCTTCTTGTTCCTATCTGCATTAAAAACTCTTTCCTAGGTCTCTAGCAACACTAGCCATAGACTTCTCCTCGCACCTTTTTGCTTCCTTTAGCAGTTTTTTCAAATTCCTAGCTTCTGACTCGTATTTACACTCTCCACTTTCCCAGAGTGCTCAGCATGTGTCACCCAGATGGAAGTCCCTCCTGAGCACACAGCGTCCCCCTACACTCTCTGGATCAGTGCCCTCGTGCGGCCGGGGGCTCTGCGGCAGACACCGACGAAAGCACCCGTCCTGTGCCGGATCCGCCAGGGCACGGAGCAGTAGATCCATTTTCTTTCAAGCTAGCAGTGACTCAGACAGGTGTGGTGCCCGCGAGCTCAGCACAGGCATTTCCACATGCCATGGACTTGTGCTGTAGAGAAACCCCCTTTCCGCCCGGCCGGGGGCCTCTCTCAGCCACTCCGCCACACTCTCTATTGCAGCTCAGGGGAGTCTGTCCGTGGGGACCCAGTGACTGGGGGAGGCTCTTACACTTCCCAGCCAACCCCCCAGCTTCCTAAGAGCAGCCCTGCGCCCATGGGGTTGAAGTGGGGGGGAGTGACTCGGTGCTTACAGGCAGGCGGCCCCCTTTCCGCCCGGCCGGGGGCCTCTCTCAGCCACTCCGCCACACTCTCTATTGCAGCTCAGGGGAGTCTGTCCGTGGGGACCCAGTGACTGGGGGAGGCTCTTACACTTCCCAGCCAACCCCCCAGCTTCCTAAGAGCAGCCCTGCGCCCATGGGGTTGAAGTGGGGGGGAGTGACTCGGTGCTTACAGGCAGGCGGATGCTGTCCTATAAGATAAAATTGTTATGTTTGTATTAGGGATGTTAAATACTAGTCAACTATCTGATTTCCTCCCCCCTCCTTCTGCCTCTATCAGAGGCAGCAAAGGACGGAGCAGAGGGGGGACTTCAAAGCCGCAGCGCCACACAGCTGAGCCAGGGATCAGCTGTGTAGTGCTGCCCCTTTCAGCACCACCTCAGCATTTCAAAGGGGCAGCGCTGCATAGCTAATTCCTGGCTTAGCTATGTGATGCTGCTGCTTTGAAACTGTGAGCCTGGGGTCAACTGGGGACTCCCCAACTGATTCTGAGCTCCGTGCGGCATTTCTGCGGAACCTGGGATCAACTGAGGCCCCCAGCTGACCTTGGGCTCTGCATGGCATTTCAAATCGGCAGCACAGCATGGAGCCCCAGGGTCAGCAGGGAACTCTCCCCTGCAGACTCTGGGCTCCATGAGGGCACTTCCGCATTCCTCCTTTGAAGCCCAGTGGAGGCTCTTGTGCATTTCAAAGCGGAAGTGCCTATCGACTAGTTGAGTAGTCCATGGAAATTCCATGACTGCTCGAAGAGTGAATTAACTGCTAGTTAACATCCTTAGTTTGTATAGTGCCATTTTCTGTGGTATTTTGGATTTTCTGTTACACTAGATGTTTTTGCAGAGAGCACAGTGAATTTCTTTGCACAAGTTCAAGGGGTATTTTTGCTTATGGTGCTATGTTCTAGAGATACAGTATTTTGGCAACTGTTTTTATTTATCTTAATCTCACTTGTTTGCTCTTATTAGTGTTTAAATGCTTGCACTCATTCATCTTAGCTAATGAATCTATCCTTATAGTAATATTTTAGTTACTGAGGCTCTTTGGCTTCATAAACTTTGTTCTGTAACTATTTTGTTCCTAGACTACTAGTGTGCCCCTTCATATAACATTTACAAGTCAAGAAAGAGAGAGAGGGGACTCCAGGATAATGGAAAGAGTAATTCTGGTAGCATGCCATTTTGTTACCAGAGATTTTAAGTGAAGTATTGGTGCTAGTAGGCAGAAAAGAGGAGGCATAGCTGCAGATCTATTTAAAAACAGAGGACTGGGCTAGTGAGACAAACTTGGAGACAGTCAATTTTTTAAAAAATTGACAGCAGTACAATTAACATTTACTCTTCTAAAGATCTCTAAAGGGCATTTTATTTTTAGAATTGCTAAGCTGATAGTTTGAGCCTGGAATCCCTTATAAATAAAAACCTCACAGCACAAGTGCATTTCTGTAGCTGTAATTTAAAATATTGATAGATGAGATGGACAATAGAATTGTGAATTTTCCTTCCCATTAATTTAATTTAAACTCCCGCAGAGATTCTAGGGACCCCATAAGCTTGGCTAAGTAGATCTGATTAATTTTCTTGTTTTCTTTTCAGTTACTGAAATCATGAATCCTGTCTATAGCCCTGGATCTTCTGGGGTTCCCTATGCAAATGCCAAAGGAATTGGTTATCCAGGTAAACAACTTAATTTGTATCCTAAGTTTTCTTTTAAAGTGATACTTGTGGATTGTTCACTATAGCCCAGTCAGCATACACTCTAAGGTGACTCACTTACGAATGTTTCCATACCTTTTGATAACTTTCACGTACCAAGTTTATACTACAAGTGCCTTGACTTTGTGTTGTGTTCCTTATGCTAGTTTGAAATCTTAGGGGTGTAACTACATTTAAAATTAACAGCTTGTAGAGAAGCAACTTTATCCCATTGTTGGCTGACAATTTCCCTTTTTTATCCTACAGTTTGTTTATTTGGCATTGGCAGTCTTGTGTGCCACGTATATAAAACCAATTGAGACAGAGTAACAGTGTCAAAGATTAAGAATATTTTAGTGATGCCAGAACTGCAGGACTCTGTGCATTTCCCTTATTTTCTTTTTTGTCACCCCTGTTCTGAGATTTTCTTTCTGATTCTCATCCCCATTCCTCCTTTCTCACAACCTGATGCTTGGTTTGAGTAGATCTGAAGCCTCCAGGAGCACAATAACCAACAGAAGACCATTAGTTAAGCCTATGCAGTGTGAGACATGAATATATAAATGTTTCTGTTGCTATCAACTGTTTCAAGTGATTATTCTACTACTACATAATTATAGATGAGAGAAGTACCGACCGCGGGCGGCCCGTGGGGCTCTGTGCATGACCCGCAAGACATCGTGTTTCCTTGCCCACGCGCGGGGCTGCCACGTTCCGCTGGATTCTGCCCGTGGGGCTTTTCCCTACCGGTGTCACTGAAGTGCCAGGCACGTTGGTGCCAGGGCCTGTGCAGCGAGGTGGGGGCTGGTTGCACACAGCCCTGCCTGTCGGAGCCGTGCGCTCCCTGCAGCCGGTCCCAGCGCTGCTCCGGTCCGGTCAGTGCCCC